CTAACCAACTTCCATATTTATTTAATGTCTTAGAATAAAATGTTTTAAATTTTCATCATAGAGGTCTTGTATATCTTTTCGTAGTTCCATTTGTAGGTGCTTCTTTAATGGTACTATATTTTTATTTCTACTTTCTGACGAATCACTGGCATGTAGAAATAATTGATACTTACATATTGATTTTAAATACAATCACTTTGCTTTTTTTGTTGTTGTTGTTTTGTTTTGAGATGGAGTTTTGCTTTTGTTGCCCAGGCTGGAGTGCAATGTTGTGATCTTGGCTCACTGCAGCCTCCACTTCCCAGGTTCAAGTGATTCTCCTGCCTCAGTCTCCCAAGGCTGGGATTACAGGCATGTGCCACCACGCCCAACTAATTTTTGTATTTTATTTTTAGTGGAGATGGGGTTTCACCATCTTGGCCAGGCTGGTCTTGAACTCCTGACCTTGTGAGCCACCACACCCAGCTGCTAAACTCTTATTAATAACTTACTCATGTACATAATCATATCATCTGTGAGTCAGTGCAATTTTCTTTCATTATTTCTATTATTTATACTTAAAGTGTTTATATAATTGTTTTAGTATGCTGGTTAGGTTTTATTAATATTGCAGCAAACTATTATGTTGTTTGCTGTAAAATTATAATGTTTCCATTCTGTAGGAAAACTTAGACTATTTCACAGTTAATTATCATGTTTGCTCTTAAGATTTTTGTGGCTGGGCGCGGTGGCTCAAGCCTGTAATCCCAGCACTTTGGGAGGCCGAGGCGGGTGGATCACAAGGTCAAGAGATCGAGACCATCCTGGTCAACACAGTGAAACCCCGTCTCTACTAAAAATACAAAAAATTAGCTGGGCATGGTGGCACGTGCCTGTAATCCCAGCTACTCAGAAGGCTGAGGCAGGAGCCGAGATCGCGCCATTGCACTCCAGCCTGGGTAACAAGAGCAAAACTCCATCTCAAAAAAAAAAAAAAAGATTTTTGTGAATAACCTCTATCAGACTAAGTGATTTCCCTTTTATTCCCAGTTTTTTATTGTGAATGGATGTTAAGTTGTTAATGTTTTTTCTGTTGTATCTATTGAAGTTAAGTTGTTAATGTTGTTTTTGCTATTGTATCTAATGTATCTATTGAAATGATTTATGATTTTTTTCCTTGAATCTGTTAATGTGGCATATTGATGGATTTTCTTTTTTTTCTAGTTAATAACAGCTTTGATTTTCTGGAATAACTTCAGTTTGGTCAAGTATTATTTTTATTTAGTGCTGGGTTTGATTTGTGAATATTCTGTTTATGTATATTTCTGTTTGTGAGCTTGATCTATAATTTTTTAATTCTTTTCACAAGGTTTTATTATGAAGGTTTTCTAGTCTAATTAAAATAACATTGAGGAATGTACCCTTGTTTTCTAATTTTTGGAAATAGAACAGCTTGAAATGTTGGTAGAACTTGTCATTAAAGCCATTTGTGCCTGGCATTTTCTTTTTTGGAATTTAAAAAACATTCTTCAATTTCTTTAGTGGCTATGAGGTAGCTTTTAGTATTTCTTGAGTCAGTTATATGAATGTTAATTTTTTTCTAAGAATTTTTTTATTTTGCCTAATTTTAAACGTATTGATAGAGACCAGGCACAGTGACTCACACCTGTAATCTCAGCACTCTGGGGGACTGAGGTGGGCAGATCACTTGAGGTTAAGGGTTCACAACCAGCCTGGCCAACATGGTGAAAAAAACCCACCTCTACTAAAAATACAAAAATTAGCCAGGGTGGTGATATGCACTTGTAATCCCAGCTAGTGGGGAGACTGGCGAGGCAGGAGAATTGCTTGATCGCGGGAGGCAGAGTTTGCAGTGAGCTAAGATCACGCCACTGCACTCCAGTCTAGGCAACAGAACAAAAACTCTGTCTCAATCAATCAATCAATCAATAAATTATAATGTCTGTATTGGTCTCTTGTGCACAAACATGTCAATGATATATAATAGTATTTTTAGTAGAGACGTGGTTTCACTGTGTTGGCCAGGCTGTTCTTGAACTCCTGACCTCATGATCTGTCTGCCTCAGCCTCCCAAAGTGCTGGGATTACAGGCATAAGCCACTACGCCCGGCAGTGACATACAATGGTAAATGTTTATTTCTTACTCTGTGGTTCAGTAAAGTGGTTCGTCCTCGGTCCTTAGGCTTTCTCGAGCAGCTTTATTTGGGCTACAGATTGACTGGGGCAGTTCTGTTTCAATGGGCCTCTTCCCCGGGGTGAGTTTGCTTAGACTGTGTTTCAGCTGGGATGGCTTTGTTACATGTCTTATTCTTGGGACTATACCAGAGGAGCAGTGGGCTGCGTCTGGGTATTCTTCTGACGGAGACAGATGCACAAGAAGACAAACTCAACTGTACATCACATTTCAAGCCTTCTGCTTGCATCACATTCACTGAAATCTCGTTGACCAAAAGCAAACTATATGACCAAACCTAAAGTTAAGGTATGGGGACTATAATATACAGCCCAACCACCATTAGGCTGTGATGGGAATGTGTATGCTTAATATAACACGATAGTGAATTCAAATCACTTTTTTAGGTGACCTATTTTATTAGTCCTTTGTGAAATATCACAAATGATTTAATGTTACCCACTTTTGTAATTCTTAACAGCCAAAATGTACATGATTTGAATAGTTATTCTTACTTCTGTAATACATGATTTGAATAGTTATTCTTAGCTCTGTAAACCAGTTCTTTTCAGCAATTTTATTCATGTAACTGCTGGATCTGGGGTGAAATTTCAACATATTGAGTAAAATCTAAGGACTTAACCTAAATAGGAAATGTAAGTAGGTATCTGGTATTTTGATCAGTTTGACTTCCAAGTAAGTGGTCAGTACTATAAGAAATACTTATTATTTTGTTATTCAGTAATTGTCAAAAACCTCCTGAATGAAGCAGTCAAGAGTACCAAAATGTCAGTCCATCAGTAGATGATCCAAAAGAAAAAGGGTCACATTCTAGCAGTATAATAAAGTGCTTTCAAGCCCTTATATTAACTTTATACTATAATCACACACACACACATGTACGTTGTTGTTGGTGTTGAGACTGAGTCTCACTCTGCCCAGGCTGGAGTGCACAATCTTGGCTCACTTTAACCTCTGCCTCAGCCTCCCAAATAGCCGGGACTACAGGCACGTGCAACCATGCCCAGCTAATTTTTGTATTTTCAGTAGAGACAGGGTTTTGCCATGTTGGCCAGGCTGCTCTCGAACACCTGACCTTAAGTGATCCACCTGCCTCGGTCTCCCAAAGTGCTGAGATTACAGGCATGGGCCACCGTGCCTGGCCAAAAATGTGTGTTTTTACCTAGGTTCACCCCAAGATGATTCAAATATGCAGCCAACGTTAAGAACCAGCACTTTTATTAGGCCAATGTGAGGAGGAGGAGTTTTAATAAAATTATATTGCAGTAATTTTCAAACTATCAATATATTCCTTTGAGATGGCTGCTTCCTGAGAGAGGCTAGTAATCTGTCAGACTAGCTAACTTGAAAACTCTTTTGAAACTTAAAAACACCTTTAAAATAGCATATGTGAGTTGTGAGGATATAAAGAGAACTTCCTCTGGCAAAAACAAAGAAATTTGAAATTTGAAAGAAATTTGAAATTTAAAAACCAAAGCTGTTTGAATTGACTTTGGAGTCACTCTAAAAGAATTTGCCAATCTGGGTAACATATTGATTAGCTTATATCGCTAAATAAAATACTCTAAAACCTAGAGGCCTAAATAATTATTTAGTTGATAATCCTTTGTTTCAGTAATTTCAGCCGAGCTTAGCTGGGCTGCTGTCATCTTAGCTGGCTCAGATTATCAGTTGATGATCTGGCTAGGAGCTGAGAGTCTAGGATGACCTCAGCTAGGACAGTTTGTCTCTGTTCCAGATTGTAGATCATCCTTTAGCTGCTAACCTTGGTTTACTCTTAATGACAATAGAGCAGGATTCCTAAAGATAGTTAGGAAAAGAGTGTATAAAGCCACTTGTGAGGCATAGGCTCAGAACTGAGACACTCGTTTCTGCTGGCCAAAGCAATCTGTAGATTAGGACTTGGATTTAAGACATAGAGAAAGAGATTTCCAATCTTGGGAACAATTGCAACAGTCATACTGCATAAGATGTGAGTATGGGGAGAGGGATAATTTCAGCCACTTTAAGACAATACTCCACAAATTGCAAAGAGGCAGGAGGTAAGATCTAAGACCCGACAGAAGCAAGGGCGAGACCTGGAGGTACCATGTCCTCTCAATAAAACCATTTCATGGAAAGGGTACACAATGAAATAGTGCCCTGCTTACATAAGGAGACTTTTTCTGAGGAGTTGGATAGGTTTACTGAGAGTGGATTGGTAGGTTATCCTTAGCTTCAGTTCTGTGGTTTCTTAGGTTTGCTTTTACTATAGTACCTCCAGAGGAGTGAGTTTTGATGACCACATAAAGAGATCACTTTCCTCAGAAGAAAGGAAACATTGTTTCTGTCATACATAAGTATACCTGTATATAACAACCTTCTGATTGGTACTAGATTACTTCCCATTTCTTAGCCTAAAATTTCTGGGTGATGCCCAAATGGAGGACTTTCATAGACCATCGCTCTGGACTAGAACTTGACAAGGGGAGTAGTGGGGACTTCCTTGGACAAGGTAATTAGATGCTACTCTGGAGCTGAACCATTTATTGTAAGGGATTTCCATATAGACCTGGGCCTTTTAAAATTTAAACATTAGTAGAAATTTTCTGGACTATGCTTGTGTAGCCTGCCTGTGTGATACAGAATTCATTCTATATATTAAAGCTACTAATGAATATTTTGTACAGAAGCTTTAGAAGTACTAAATTTATTAATTTATTTTTTGAAAAGAAAAATTACCTCTTTTGACATTTTCTCTGCTTTTGTCATTGTAAATTGTTGGAAGATAACATTAAGTCTGAGGTTTTCTATCATTTTACTCTAGGCAGCACACTTCTGCTTTTGTTCCTTCATCAGGACGAATTTACTCTTTTGGGCTTGGTGGTAATGGGCAGCTGGGAACTGGTTCAACAAGCAACAGGAAAAGTCCCTTCACTGTAAAAGGAAATTGGTACCCTTATAATGGGCAATGTCTACCAGATATTGGTAAGTTCTGTTATATTAAAGCTTTCCTTCATGTATTAAAGTTCTTGTTAAAATGTTAGTCTTAAATCATGAAGATTTCTGCAAAAGATTTCCAGGATACATTGTTAAGTGAAAACAAATGGAGAACAATGTATGTGATGGTTTGATTTGCTTATATTTACTTGTAAATGCATAAAGAAATTCTGGATAAATAAAAGTTACTTTCAGAGAGTGGGACATATGGGAACTAAGTGATAGCTAGATACCAGTGGGTGGGACGTTTTTTTGTTTTCTATTTCAAATTGTGGTAAAATATGCACAACATAAAATTTACAGACTTAACCATTTTTTAAGTTTACAGTTAAGTAGCATTAAGTATATTCACGTTACTATGTAACCAATCTCCAGAACTCTTTTCATCTTGAGGAACTAAAAGGCTGTATGCATTAAACAGCAACTCTTCATTCCCTCCTCCTCCTAGCGCCTGGCAACCACTATTCTACTTTCTGTCCCTATGGATTTGACTTAACACTAGGCTAGGTACCTCAAAGAAGTGGAATCATATAGTAGTGTCTGTTTTTGTGACTCACTTATTTCACTAAGCATAATGTCTTCAAGGTTCATCTATGTTGTAGCATGTGTTAGAATTTCCTTCCTTTTTAAGCTGTATAATTCAGACATACCTTGGAGATATTGTGGGCTCAGTTCCAGACCACTGTAATGAAGCAAATATTGCCATAAAGCAAATATCATAATAAAGCAAATCACAAAATGTTTGGTATCCTAGTGCATATAAAAGTTACATTTATACTATATTGTAGTTTACTAAGTGTGCAATAATAAAATTGTCTTAAAAGACTGTGTTTAGTCTTTAGTTTAAAAATATACTTCATAATTTAGGTTTAAAAATATACTTTATTGCTTAATAATGCTGACACAGAGATGTGAAGTGAGTACATGCTGTTGGAAAAATGGTGCTGATAGACTTGTTCTGTGCCGAGTTCCCTGAACCTTCAGTTTGTAAAATTCACAGTATCTGAGAAGCACAGTAAAGTAAAGCACAATGAAATGAGGCAAGCCTGCATTCTTATTATATGGATGTGGTTTGTGGCACCTAAAACAATTACAGTAATAACATCAAAGATCACAGATCACCATAAAAGATATAATAATAATGAGAAATATTGAAATATGAGAATTACTAAAGCTTATAAGCTTTACTGAATTTTTGATACTGAATTTCTACAAATTGAAGGTTTTTGGCAACACTGCATTGAGCAAGTCTGTTGGCACCATTTTTCCAACAGCATATATGCTCACTTTGTATCTTTATGTCGCATTTTGGTAACTCTTACAATATTTCAAACTTTTATGTTGTTATTATATGTGTAATATGATCTGGGATCTGTGATCATTGATTTAATTGTTTTGGGGTGTCATGAACCTTACCTATATAAGACAACAATGTTAATTGATAAATGTGTACGTTCTGACTGCCCCACCAGCTGACCATTCCCATCTGTCTCATCTCCTTGGGACTTCCTGTTCCTTGAGGCACAATGATGTTTAAATTAGGCCAGTTAATAACCCTACAAATGGCCTCTAAGTATATAAGTGAAAGGAAGAGTCACACATCTCTCACTTGAAATCAAAAGCTAGAAGGGATTATGTGTAGTGAAGAAAGCATGTCAAAAGCCGAGACAGGCTGAAAGCAAGGCTTTCTTATGCCAGTTATCCAAGTTGTGAATGCAATTTGAAGAAAAGTAAAAGTGCTACTCTGGTGAACACATGAATGGTAAGAAAGTGAAAAACAGCCTTATTACTGATATGGAGAAAATTTTAGTAGTCCAAATAGAAAATCAAACCATCCACAACATTTCCTTAAGCCAAAGTCTAATCCAGACCAAGATTCTAACTTTCTTCAAGTCTCTGAAGGCTGAGAGAGATAAGAAAGCTGCAGAAGGAAACTTGAAGCTAGCAGAGATTAGTTCATGAAGTTTAAGGAAAGAAGCCATCTTCATAACATAACAGTACTGATGTAGAAGCTATAGCAAGTTATCTAGCATGTCTAGCTGAGGTAACTGATGAAGGTGGGTACACTAAACAACAGATTTTCAGTGTTGACAATACAGTCTTCTATTGAGAAGAAGATGTCTTGAACAACTTTCTTTTGTAGCTGAGAGAAGTAGTCAATGCCTAGTTTCGAAGGACAGGCTGATTCTTTTAGGGTCTAATGCATCTGGTGACTTTAGGTTGAAGCCAGCGCTCATTTACCATTCTGAAAATGCCAAGGCCCTTAGGAATTATGCTAAATCTATTCTGCCTGTTTTCTATAAATGGAACAACAAAGCCTGGATGACAGCTCATCTGTTTACAGCATGGTATATTGAATATATTAATGTTGGCTTAAGCCCACTGTTGAGACCCACTACCCAGTTAATAGACTGCTTTCAAAATATTGCTGCTTGTTGACAATGCACCTCGTCACATCAAAGATCTGATGGAGATATACGTGGAGATATCTGCTTTTAAGGCCTGCTAATACAACATCCATTCTGCTGCCCAAGGATCAAGGAGTAATTTTGACTTTCAAGTTTTATTATTTAAGAACTACATTTTGTAAGGCTGTTGTTGCCATATATGGTGATTCCTCTAATGGTTCTGGGCAAAGTAAATTGAAAACCCTTAAAGGATTCACCATTCCAGTTACTGTTAACATTTGTGAAGTGAGAAATTACTTGAAGCCAGCAGTTTGAGACCACCCTGGGCAACATAGTGAGACACTGTCTCTACAAAAAATAATTTTAAAAAGCCAGGTGTGGTGATACATGCTACTTGGGAGGCTTAGGTAGGAGGATTGCCTGAGCTCAGGAGTTGAAGGTTTATAGTAAGTTATGATCATGCTAATGCACTCCAGCCTGGGCAACAGAGTGAGACCCTGTCTCTGATTTGTGGGAGGAAGTCAAAATGTCAACAATAACAGGAGTTTGGAAGAATTTTGTTCCAAACCTCATGGATGAGTGAGGGGTTCAAGACTTCATTCAAAGAACTTAACTATAGATATGGTGGAAATAACAAGAGAACTAGAATTAGAGCTAAAGCCTGAAGATGTGACCAAATTGCTGCAATCTTAAAATGAAAAATATTCCTTATCCAGTCCAAGACATCAAAGCTCTGCAGAAAGAACTCAAGAAATTTGCCAAGCTCCTGAAGCAGAAGAGGATCACCCTGGATATACACAGGCCGATGTGGGGCTCACCCTGTGGGTTCTGTTTGGGAAGGTGTTCAGCCAATGACCATCTGCTACTTTGAGGCTCTGCAGCTTAGCTTAGAGCATATATAAGCTGTGGCCCTTGCTGCAGAAGTGGATGGAAGAAGCTGACAACAGTGAAAATCTTCAGGAGATATGCAAAGCAGAAAAACTCATGCAGTCCCAAAAGAGAAAGTGAACCAGTATTGAAAATGAAGTAAGAGGCAACCTGGAGAATTTGTTCCTGCAGTACCCAAAGCCCACACTGTAGCAGATCAGCCACATCACCCAGCACTTGGGCTCCAGAAGGATGTGATCTGAGTGTGGTTCTGTAATGGGTGCCAGAGGGCAAGCGATCAAGCAGTGACTACACAATGAGAGAATTTTGAGGCTACTAGGTCTCTTTTCTCAGGGGGACCAGTGTCCTTTCCTCTGGCCCCAAGGCCCCATTTTGGTATCCCAGGCTATGGGAGCCCTCACTTCACTGCACTGTACTCCTTGGTCCCTTTCCCCCTGTTTCCATCACCACTCTGGGCTCTCCCATGCATTCAAACTGAGGTGCCTGCCCTTCTAGGAATGGTGGATGAGAAGAAAGGAGAAGCTAGGGAAAGAGAACCTAAAGTTTGTGCCAGGGCTTTTGAGATTAAGTTCTTCATTCACTAAGGAAGGAATTGGGAACACAAAGGGCGGGGACAGGGGAGTTTGGGGCAACTGGTTGGAGGGAAGGTGAAGTTTACTGATGTTCTTGATTTTAATCCCCATATCATGTATCACTTTTTTCTTAAATAAAGGAGCCTAGAACACACTAGAGAAGAAAAAAAAAGAAAACGAAAAATACTCCTCATCCATTCATGTTTTATGGATGAGCAAAGAAGGTGTTTTCTTGAGATGGAATCTACTGCTGGTGAAGATGCTATGAACATTATAGAGATGACAAGAAAGTATTTAGACTATTTCATAAACTTAGTTGACAAAGCAGCAGCCAGGGTTGAGAGGGTTGTCTCTACTTTTGAAAGCAGTTCTGTGGGTAAAATGCTATCACACAGCCTCTCCTGGTATAGGGAAATATTTTATGAAAAGAAGAGTTAATCAATGTAGCAAACTTTGTCACTGTCTTATTTTAAGAAATTGCCACATCTACCCCAGCCTTCAGCAATCACCACCCTGATCAGTCAGTAGCCTGACATTGAGGCGAGATCCTCCATCAACAAAAGATTAAGACTCATGAAGGCTCAAATGATCATTAGCATTTTTTAGCAATAAGTGACTTTAAATTAAGGTATATACTTTTTTTTGTTTGTTTGTTTTAAGATATAATACTATTGCACACTTAGTGGACTACAGTATATTGGGCCAGGCACAGTGGCTTATGGCAGTAATCCCCGTGCTTTGGGAAGCCAAGACAAGAGAGTCACTTGAGGCCAGGAGTTTGGAACAGCTGGGGCTACATAGTGAGACTCTCATCTCTATAAAAGGAAAAAAAAAAAAAGCTCAACTCTATCAATGGACTACAGCATTGTATAAACTTTTTTTTTTATTTTTTATTTTTTGAGACAGTCTTGCTCTGTCACCCAGGCTGGACATGCAGTGGTACAGTCAGTTTACTGCAACCTTCACCTCCTAAGTTCAAATGATTCTCCTGGCTTAGCCACCTTAGTAGCTAGTATTTCAGGTGCCCACCACCACACCTGGCTTATTTTTTTTAGTATTTTTAGTAGAGACAGGGTTTCAACATGTTGGTCAGGCTGGTCTCAAACTTCTGGCCTCATGTGATCTGCCCACCTTGGCTTCTTAAAGTTCTAGGATGATAGGCATGAACCACTGTGCCCAGCCTAGTGTAAACATACTTTTACATGTACTATGAAACCAAAAATTTGTGTGACTTGCATTGTGATATTTGCTGTATTGCGGTTGTCTGGAACCAAACCCTAAATATCTTTGAGGTATGCATATGCCACATTTTGTTTATTCATATGTCAGTGGACAATTGCGTTGTTTCTACCTTTTGGCTATTGTGAATAATGCTGCTATGGATACAGTTTTACAAGTATCTCTTTGAGATTCTGCTTTCAGTTCTTTTGGGTATATACAGGATTGTTAATTATTTTCTATTCTTTAAAAATTGGAACTCTTTGAGTCTATTGCTTATTAAAAATATAAAAAAATTTTGACCCAGAAATGGACTCAGCACATAAGGACCATTTTCCACATCCATATGATTACATCCCAACCAGTCATCAGCACCCATTCTCCTGCCTGCTAAACTATCCTTGAAAAACCCTAGCTTTCAAATTTCTGGGAAGACTGATTTGAGTAATAAAACTCAAGTCTCCTATTTAAAAACACCAAAAAATTTTTTGTCTAGAAGGGAAGCTACTGCCCTGAAAACAAAGGCACAGGCCTAACAGGATTCATCACCTGCTGACTAAAGAGCCCTTGGGCTTTGAATAAACATGAACAATAGACAGGAATTAGTTGCCACATGCCTTGGGTGAGACCTAGTACTACTGTAAGGTGTGACCCAGCACAGTCTCAGCAGTGGTGGTCATGGGGGTGCTTGTGTCACCTCTCTCCGAACTCTTAAGAATCTCTGTACAGCGAGAGAGACTTCATTTGTTTGGGGGAGAGTAAGGGAGGAGAACAAGAGACTCTGCTTTCTCCCATATCTTACCCGAGTTCACCAAGGTAGTACCTCTATGACTTGGCAAGAGTCACAGTTTTGCTGGGCATGGTGATATGTGCATGTAGTTCCACCCACTTCGGAGGCTGATGCAGGAGGATCACTTGGGCTCAGGAGCTCTGGGCTATAATGTACTGTGCGGATTGGGTATCTGCACTAAGTTCAACATTGATATGGTGACTTCTTAGGAGTTGGGGGCCACCAGGTGGCCCAGGTTGGAAATGGAGCAGGTCAGAACTCCTGTGCTGATCATTAGTGGGATTATGTGTGTGAATAGCCACTGTACTCCAGCGTGGGCAA